CAGGACACAGCATGGACATGAGGGTCCCCGCTCAGCTCCTGGGGCTCCTGCTGCTCTCGCTGCCAGGTAAGGATGGGCAGCCCTGGGGATTTCTTCAGCACTGTATGGTCAGAGCTACCTCAATCTTTTGGGAAGTTCTTTAATACTGAGATTAATTATATAAATATTTGTTTTTCTGTTTCCACTATCAGGTGGCAGATGTGACATCCAGTTGACCCAGTCGCCTTCAGTGTCTGCATCTTTAGGAGAGAAAGTCACCATCACTTGTCAAGCCAGCCAGGGTATTAGCAATTATTTACACTGGTATCAGCAGAAACCAGGGCAAGCTCCTAAACTCCTAATCCGTTATGCAACCACTGTGCAGTCCGGGGTCCCACCGAGGTTCAGCGGCAGTGGGTCTGGGACAGACTTCACTCTCACCATCAGCAGCCTGCAGCCTGAAGATGTTGCAACTTATTACTGTCTACAGAGTTATAATACCCCTCCCACAATGACACAAGCCCTAACAAAAACCTCCCAGGGAAGCAGAAGTGTGAGGTTGGCTGGCTTCAGCTGGTCCTCCTGAGGTCTCCACCTGCTGAAAACGTTTTGTAAGTGTAGCCAGGCTTTCAAGGTCACTGGGGATTTGCTTGAAGGAGTCAGCATTTCTCTTCTGCACTGTAATTGCCCTTGTTTTACCTCAACCCCAGCAGCCCTGATTATCAAAGGACTTCTTTATATGAAGGAAAGTGTGTGATATCTGAGGATTCTTGATGTGGAATCATTTGGAACTCAGTGAACCAAAGAAAATTTATTCAAACACTCCAGCAGGAATTGCTCTGATACAATGAATTACAATCTGTCTTTTACGGTCCTGAGGTAGACAGAGCAGGTGATAATAGAAATGAAGTACTTTCTGGTTCCCCCAGATGGCAGTAACACCACGGAATGAGCCACCTTACCGTGATCTTAAGGCTCTGGAGAAAATCTAGAGTAGCGTTATGATTGTGTCACTTGCCTGAAGCAAGTCTCCTTGTGAGTTTCCAATCCTCCCCTCTGATCAGGTACCAACCCAGTGATCTCTATGAGCACTGAACCGGTTCAGTCTTGAAACTCAAAGAGTTGCCTCTACTTCATCAGCAGTCATTTGACATTGCTCCAGGAGAAATCTTTCCAAGTACGTACAGAAAAATCATTGAATTCTACAAAAAAAATTCTGCAAAAAAAATCCCTTGGATTAGCTTGGAATCATAGGGTTTTTCCATATTAATGTATCTCTCGTTAATTTTTCATACTTAGTAATGAGTGTTCCTACTTGTCCATTTCTCCATCTGGTCAAACAACATTAGCATAAACCATTCTTTTCAATAAGCTAACAGAAATTAGTATAATTATCTTAGCTATCTTGTACATATATATGATATAAATATATATGTCTTATATATGTATAGTTTCTTTTCCCTTCCTTGTTTTCCCCTTTACCCCTTCCCAGTTGTTCTTTCTTTTGAGCAGTTTCTTTCCCTTTGACAATATCCTATGTACTTTTTAGGTCTGATTTACTCTTTCAGTTTCTTACATTAGGGATACAATATGATGTTTACTCATTCAAGTCTGATTTATTTCATTTATGAGTATGGTCTCTAGTTGCATCCATTTACCTGTAAACGTCTCCAGTTTATCCTTCTTCAAAACTGAGTAATACTCCATTGAATAAAAATATCACATCTTTTTTCTCCACTCCTCCGTTGATGGGCATCTGTGTTGTTTTCTAGATTTAGTTATGATAAATTGTGCTGCTGTCAATATGGGCTCAAATATATCACTGTGGAATGATGATTTTTAATTCTTCTGGGAAGATGCCCAGAAGGGGAATAGATAGCTAAATAGGACCTTCAGTCTTTGCTATTTGGGAATCTCCACACTGATCTCCACAGTGTGCTACTGGTCACACCAGTGTACACTGCCTGCAACAGTTTGGCCAGAGGAATCATATCACACAATTCCATGATAGTGAGAGAGTTTATAGAGATGTGCAGAGACACCCATATTCCCTGCACCCTGACAGTTTGCCTCCACCCTCAGTACCCTGCACATATGCATTGGGTGGACAGAGATGATATGGAGATAAAGTGCAGGAGTCACAGTGCATGTGGCACCTTCTCCTGCCTCAGTTTTAACAACAGCCTCAGCATCCACACTGCTGAATGTGGAGCTCTGAACAGGACCCTGCCTGAGCTGCTGGGGTTTCCACAATGAGCTCTGTGAGGGATTCTGGGCTGGGAATGATGGAGTGGATGTACTTCTCTAGACCAGGAGCCCTCGGCCTCAATCCCTCACCCTCTGATGAGCCTTGCTGGGTTGCTCAAGGCTGCCTGTCCTTCACCAAAACAGCACTGTTGATGATCCCACCTAGAACTTCACCTGCATGAAGCCCACTGTGTTTGCAGAATTTCTAGTTACCTGATATGTGTCTGTAACTGTACAGACAATTTGCAGAGAAGATAAATTACTCTGAGCTTCTAACAGAGTCTATGGATGGATGGGATAGTATCAGATTTATGAAAATGTATAGAAAAATCACATTCAAGGCATTGGGACTGTGAAATGAAAATTCTGTAAGATGCTCTGTCTCAAAGCTGCCATTAGATGGCAAACAAACCCCATGATAAAGGAAGGACACATTTTAGAAATGGGAAGTGGAAGTGACACTTCGTTGATCAAAAGGGAGCTCTAAGTCCCTGGGGTGTCTGCCCAGCTCTCAGGGCTCACTGTCTGATGGGCTGTGGTCACAATGGGCCACATTCCCCTCAGGTGCTACTTCCTGGTTATTTTCTGTTTTCTTGGTGATCTTCAGTAGCCTCACCCTGACAAAAAGTCTCCTCCAGTTGAGGCCTGGAGCTGCCAGAACTCAGGGTCGAAAACAGAGAAACAAGGGCATTATTCTGAAGATCAGCAGCCAAGTTTGCAGAAATCATGAAGTGGCCTTGTGAAGTACAAGGAGGAGGGGACAGAAACTCCTGAAGTCTCCATTCAGTGAAGAGGAAGAGACAGACTGGACAACAGCCCCTTCAGGAGGAGAGAGGAGAGGTCAGTGAGGGAGTAGATGTGACGTCAGATCTAACAACCTGTCTGCTCCCGGAGTCAGCCGCGCGGTGCGTGGGTGTCAGGCAGGATCTTGAGCTTCGTGATGACCAGCCTGGTTTCTCAGTGCTTATACTCAGTTTGCCACAGTTTAAAATGTTCTTCCCAAAGTAAAAATTCTCAGTTATTAATGTGTTAATATAATATTTTCTCTATTAGAGTCCCACAATGCCTTTGTACGTGTATGTCTGACTGGTGTTTAAATAGTTTTCTAGCAAACAAAGCCTGAATAAGACAAGTCTCCCAGTGGGGACATTTGTTCACTTTTCTCTTGTTCTTGATTTTTCAGGATCCATGCAAACAGCGTTGCGGACAGGTCGTCCCAGTTCTGGGCTCTCAGATTCTCAGACTCCATTCCAGGCTGCAGTTCTTGGCTTGCTTCAGCGCTTGCATGGAGACCGAACTCTTTCTTCCCCTGGTCCTAGCCCAATGGCTCCCGAAAGGAGCTGCTGCCTCCATAGCCCAGACATGGAACCCTGGTCCTAGGCCGCTGTTCCAGTCTCTCCCATAATAGCAGCGCTGGAGCCTGTGCTGGCCTCGTAGTCTGTGTCCCTGTAAACCCATACTGGAGACAGCTTTGTGCCTGGAACATCCGAATCTGCTTGTCATTCTCAGCACCTGGCTTGTTCCAACTTGACCACACAAAGCTCTCCTTCACATCTTTCTGACCAATCTAACTTAACACATAATCAAAGTGACATTAAATTAGAGCATGTGTTGTGAAACATCAACACAACAACTCTCCCACGTTTCCTTCGATTTATGGAGCACCAGTGATACCTCATGGTGCCTGGTAAAGAAGACAAGCCTCCTCCAGAGCCAGGCAGAGGCGAGGATTGTGAGACAGCTGTGGTCAGCTGTGAAATTAGATTAAAGGGGAGAGAGAAGGTTGGGCAGTAGCTGTGAAGGACTGTGGTTCCTATACAACAATAGAAAACAGCTTTGCCCTGTATTGTTCCCAGAATTGTATCAAGAATACTTGATGCAAAGAGGAAATGTAGCCCTCCGGAAGACACGAGGCTTTAAGGCCAGGACTGAAAAGCCCACATGTGGAGCTGGGGATTTAATACAGTGGCACAGCACCTGCTTGGCAAGCACAAGGTCGTGAGTTCTAATCCCCATAGAAGAAAAATAAAATAAAATAAAATAAAATTTTAAAAAAGCCCACATGAAGATAGAGGGAAAGGAGAAACATATGGGAAGAATGTATCCTTTCTGTTCTCTCCAAACTGTGACAGGAATTCTAAATTCTCCGACATTTGTGTCTATTGTTTGAAGAACTGCCATTTTTCTCAATGGATTTGAAATGATTGTAAATTATTCTGAAAGCTACTTAGGAGGAAGAGGCTAGTGGGCTCTTGACCTCATTAGGGGAGCACAGGCAGGATCATGTGTTTCTGCGTGTAAGCGTGGGAAGACTGAGGCATGAAGAAAGGGAAGCCGTAGAGCACTGTGTCCACCTTAACATGTTAGCCATGTGGCATCAATGTCCAGAGCCACTCAAGCACCTTCAAAGAGATTCTAAGTTCCAGCGTACTTGTTTCTCCTTTCGTATTTGCACCGTGAGATATTCCCAGGTTTTTTTTAAGCTCTTTCATCTCCCAGGGTTATTTCCTTAGACCTGTGAGTTAAAAAACAGGGAAGAACCATGAAAAGAGCAGGAGAGCAAGTGACACACTACTAACTGCACTCAGATTCGGCCCCAGGGCCCCAGAGAGAAACACAGGTTCTGAAAATGTCTGGTACAGCTGGGCACCTTGACTTTTCCTAACTTCCTGGAATGAGATGGGCCCTGCAGCTGTGCCTGGTCCTGCTCAGACGCCCCTGATTTGCATGCCTAGAGCACAGCCCACTGTCCTTCCTCATTAGCTCAGCACACCCTGTGCTGGGTCAGTCCCATTCAGGACACAGCATGGACATGAGGGTCCCTGCTCTATTCCTGGGTCTCCTGCTGCTCTGGCTCCCAGGTGAGGAGGATCACACTGGAAGGGACACAGCCCAGTGGGTCCTGTGCTGCATGCTTCTTCAAGGAAGGTTTCTTATACCATGACTGACTGTGAATTTTTCTTTTTATCTCTCCTATGTCAGGCATCAGATGTGACATCCAGATTACCCAGTCTCCATCCTCCCTGTCTGCATCTCTAGGGGACACCGTCACCATCAAGTGCCAGGCCAGTCAGGACATTAGCGATGACATAAACTGGTATCAGCAGAAACCAGGGAAAGCACCTACTTGTCTGATCTATGATGCATCGTACCTGCATTCCGGGGTTCCGTCGAGGTTCAGTGGCAGTGTATCTGGGAGAGATTTCACTCTCACCATCAGCAGCCTGAAGCCTGAAGATACTGGAACTTATTACTGTCAACAAGATTACAGTTCCCCTCCCACAGTGATACAAGCCATGACACAAACCACCCAAGGAAGCAGAAGTGTGAGGCTGGGCTAGCCCAGCTGCTCCCCCTGATAGCTCTCACTGCTGAGAACATTTCTTAGATGCAACCAGACTTTGGAAGTCATTGTGAGATTTTTCTGGAGGGGAGAGGGAATCCATTTGGGCCCATGACTTCTTTTTTCTCTTCCTCAACCTCAGCAGCACGAACATGGCAGCTCTCACCTGTTAGAAAGGAAAGAGTGTGATGTCTGAGGATTTGAGGTTCTACCTTCATTAGTAACTCACAGCGTAAAAGAGAACACATTCAAGGTACTCCAGGCAGGGATATTTTAATACAGAGAATTATAGTGCAGAGCACAGCTTTTACTGTCCCAAGGGGGTCAGAGAATGTGGTATCAGACATGGCTGATCTCTGGTGATCCCACAGACTGCTAAAGCCCAAGCAATGGGGCTTTTCCACATATGATTATATGCCCTGAGGAGAAAAGCCAGTGGTAAAATCCTCTCGTCGCTTGCTAGAAGCACCTCTGCATCTGAGTCTTCCGCCCTAGCTGCTCTTCATGTGTCTGCCTACTGATTTCCAAAAGTATTAAATCTTCTTCAATCTTTCAAAACTGATAAGTTTATCTCTACATATTCAGCTCTACACTAAAGCACTGAAGGAAAGTGGTTCCCCAAAACAGATGGGGTTGATGCTGAGGTGAGAGTGGAGAACCAAGAGAATCTGTTACAGCAGAAACCCCCTGACATCAGTTGGGCTGTATTCCACAAGAGACCCAAGTGCATTGAGAACAAAACCAGAGTTTAATTTGAGGCTAGCCACCCAATGCTTCCCTTTGCCAATCTGGGAAGTGGGCCAATGGCCAACCTTGTTTCACCTTATATACATTTTGGTTTTCATTTTTGGTTTCCATGGTAACAGATTGGGATGTTACATTTGCCGACCCAGGTGGGCATATGGCCTTTTCCTCATCTTGTTGGACCCTAGGTTAGTTGTAGGTCTCATGTCTAATTATGATAGATGTGTTTCCCATTATGTTTTGTTTGTCTCCTTTTTTATAACTATGCATTTTTTTAGAGTTACAATGTTTACCTAGGGCCAGGAGATGGCACTGCCCAGGCATGGTCATGGAGGATTACCTAGGCCTAGGCGCCCCCTTATCTTGGGGAGACATTCCTGGGCAGAGTGGATCTGGGGAATTAGTTCTTACACTGTCCCGGGAGGCCTCCCAAGGCACCGCTTAGGCTTTTACTAAAACTATTTTATCTAAAATAATATGCTAAGGTTCATTGCCCCCTACAGATCCTTATCACCTCAATCTCCGACTTTTTTCACTTAGGTCCTGGCCCACAAATCTGGTCAAAGGCATTCGCAAGGATAGTCTGTGAACGCCAGATAATTTCAAGCAACATCCTTAAGTCATAGGCAGCACTGGAAAGACAGGTGATTATGAGAAATGTAAAACACTTTTACATTAAGCTTCTTATCAACATATTATTTAGAAAATTTTTTTAAGCAAACAGAAAGAATAAAAACAAAAAACAAAAAAACAACAAAAGTGACGAACACCGCGGAAGGAAAAAATAACCTTTTTAAAAGTATTTGTTTCCCAAATGTTTCAGAGTTTTGGCCCTGAAAATGTGTCAGCTTGCTATCAGCATCCTGCTGTCACTGAGAGCAGCTTATGGATGCAGAGTCACTGTTCCCCGCCCCCAGCTGCTGAAGGATGATGGATATCTAACCAGATGCACGGGACTAACTAACGGCCATCTGGTAACACCTAGCTGAGCTGAGTCAGTGCGGTGTTCCTTGTGGAAATCCCACCTGAGGACTGTTGCCAACAGCATAAAAAGAACTTCAGGGGAGGATAGTGTGCTGTTGATTCTCCTGGAGATGCTTGTCAGACTGGCTTTCCTGATATCAACTCAGCCATTCTCATCATCACTGGAGCTTGGGAGCTCAGTGTCCCTATGGATAGCTGGGGTTTTTCCGGGGAGCTTTGGTCCTTACTTTGAGCATCCCTTCCTGGCTCCAGTGCAGATCCCTCAGCCTGCTAGCACAGTTCTTCATCCCACTGACACAGACTTTCTAGCTTCCACCCCTGACGTTTGGCCCTTCCCAATGCATATGCTTGGTGCACACTTGCATGAAACACTGTCCTGGGCTCTAGACCTCCAGTTGCACTCATGGAGCACATGGCCATGGGCTCTGGGTCTTCAGCTGGACTCATGTAAGACACTGCTGAGAGATCAGGTCCTCAGTTGGATCTTTGAGTCTCTAGTGTGTGGATGGATCTTCTGCACTCTTTGCATTGGAACCTTTAGGTGAATATTATAAAATAATCCTATAAATCATGTGCCCTGTATGAAATATTTTCCCCTGAAAATTCTGACAACACAGGAGACCCATAGCAGTTGGAAGGAGCTGTCTTTCAGTTCAATTATAATTCATTTAAAGGGATTTGCCCCAGTGGAACTATTTTTAAAAATCTTTTTAAATTCACATGCTCCAAACACACTGCACTATCCTTTATTTTTACTGTGAAATTGTATTTGAAAACATTGTGTGTGACAAATCTTGAAAAAAAATATTGTTTTCCCGTGAAGGGATCAAAAATCGTGACAACTCAGTGTACTAAAGGTTTTCAGAATCTTCAGGAATTATCAAATTTTAAAAATACAGCAAAATACTAAAACCTGTGTTAGGGACAGTTGGAGTTGAATTTGGAAGAGCAAGTTGGTTGGGGCTTTTGTTTCCACCTCCACTTGCCAGAGTGTTCCGCTCTGAGTCCCACAGCCCTTCAGCTTGGGCCCGGATCAGGAAAACAGCTGAGTGCACAAAGGCGTTTTGCAGAGATGATAAGATGAACTAAACATATCCATAAAAACCACAAAAGAACCTGGAGGCTAGAAAGTTAGGTCTTGTGTGAAATCAAATGTCTTCAGGTAGGGTGCAGAGGATAGCACCTGTCCTCCTTAAGAGATGCATATCAAAGCACAGAGAGAGGAAGTAATACATCTTAATTTATTTAAAATGATATTTTAAAAACATTTGTTTATAGGGGCTGGGGATTTAGCTCAGCGGCAAAAGCGCCTACCTGGCAAGCGCAAGGTCGTGAGTTCGGTTCCCGGTACCAGAGAAAAACCAAAAAAAAAAAAAAAATTTGTTTATATATCATTCCTTTATACTACAAACATTACTCTAGTATTGAATTCACTTGTTTTATCAGGAGTCAACATGGCTCTAATATATGGGCTGAGTATATCTCCTGGGTTTTTTTTGACAAATTACAAGACACAATTACACACCAGAAATGTACATATTCACTATGGTGGTATATTTTTTAGGATGTCCTTTGGATACCTATTTTTAACATACTTTAGGTACTTAATTCAGGAAATCTTGAAGAACAATAAGACTTATCAATAAGTTATCCTTGAGTTAAGGGTGACCCAAAGTGGGATGAACAAGAATTGTAAGTGCAACAGTACCCTAATGACTTGAAATGACAGATGCTCTGAAAAGATCATTTCGCTGTAGGTAATGTGCTTCAGTTTCTTCCTTCTGTATGTAAACAAATAGACATGAATCCCTGAAGTACTATTAAGTATCAGAAATTAACACAACAGTCAGTTCAGAGAAAAAAAATGCTAGTGTCTGAACTTAATCTTGATGATTATTTTATCTTAGATTTTTTAAAGACAGAATATCTTTCTGTGGAAATATGAAAGATTTATATTGGGCTGATGACCAAACATTGGCATAGTGAATTATGGCCTTAAAGAAGGAAATCATAGCACTGGATAATTTCAAGGGCTACATCTCATATCATTTTACCAGGATAAAGTCAAGTAAAGGATATTGAACACTGATTTGACCATATTTCTGGCTTTAGAAGTAGCAGAACTTCAGGATTAGAAATAAAATCAGGTGGGTTACAGTGGTAATTGGACTTTTTAAATGTAAAAGTTTGGCCACCATGGATTCCCAATAGAATCGCATTCTAAAGCACATCATTAAGACAGGTGATGTCAACGGTTACACTGATACAATAAGTAGAGGTGAGTTATTCACCCTTTCTAACTATCACAAGGAGCCCCGTAGTTAAATGCCATGCCTTCAGGGGTGGAGGTCCAGGCATGGGCTCCAGAAATGGATTTCACATAACTGAGGCTCACATGGCTAATAATAATTCTAACCATCTGGTTGTGGAGAAAGCTGGCCTCTCCTCCCTGAGCTTCCTATAGTTCGCCAGGTATCAATAAGCAGATTACACTGATACAAGGTAATTGCTTAGGACATAATTCAACGTGTAGAAATTGCTATTTTTTGATGTGTGCATTTTACTTCCTTATAATCCATATTTTTAACAGAAATAGCTTTTGGAATTCACACAATGCTTTCGTCAGAGTTGGGATATTCTACATGATACGGCATTTGACAAGGAACTCACTTAAAGCAGAAATAAGGTGCATATGCTCATGATCTCATTTCACTGATGTAGCTGTGCTTACAAAAAAGGGATTTTCCACTAGCAAAACCTAGTAGAATGCTTAAAGAGTCTTCAGAATAAAACTTAGATGACACACCAAGGTGAAGTTCCACATGCCCTTGGAGGGCTAGTGAGGCACAGGGAAGGTGACAGGCACAGTGAGAGAAGTACACGTGAGCAGCACACACAGACCCTCCATCAGATGGAGATTTTAGAACCACAGTGTCTAGTCCATTCATTATTTATAACTTACCTTCTACTGAATCATTTCATGTGGGGGAAGTTTTACAGCTGATTGCAGCTGTGTTCATCAATATTGGTTAAATGGATTAAAATACAGAAAAATTTGAGAAGCGGGGTCAGAATACACTGAGCCCTACTTCCATGAATCCCTTTCCTTTTTCCATAATTAGGGGACCCTGTTCCATTCAAACAGAAAGCCAAGTAAGTTGTTGCTTAAGGGTAGTGCTGCTTGTCTGAGATCCAGAAAAGCAAAATGATTTTCTCCAGCCATGCATGTGTTCCTCTCTGTCATTTTCAAAATCTTTCTATAGGAAAGCA